ACTATGATACTACAGCAGAGGAGGGAGCTATTCTATCCACTAAAACTTCAGAGAGGCTGGTAACATTGAAATCCTAGGTACAACGGAGAGTGGAAGTAAAATGTTAGGAGCAAAATCTGGGTATTGGAACAACCGACATTACCATCACCACACGCATGCACAGATACACACACATAAACACCCACATGCACACTCTAGACACACACACATGCACACATAGCTTCCATACGTAACTCCTGGCAGCCAGGCATCTATTTCTCAGGCAAACATCCAGAAATGTCCTCTCTAAAAACATCAAATGGCTACGGAGTAAAGACTTCCTTATTCTGGAATGGAGGAGCCCCTGAGTGTAATGCTTTCTCAGAAGTGAAGTACAAGTCAACAAAGCCTTGAGGTGTGCACAGAGCCCCACACTGCTCACTGCCTCATTATTAAATATAAACAGACCATCGATGATCACCAGACTTTTAAGGACCCAATATAAACAAACATTAGAGGAAGAAGAAAAGCTAGATACATAGGGACAGAGGTACACTGGATTATAATTATGGTAGAATCACACAGACTGTAAGAAAATCTCATCTCTAGAGCTGCATCCTCTGAAATGACCTTTCGTTTCTGCGTGTTTGTGTTGTGACCAGAAAGATGTCACATTTCTCTGTGAGACCTGGCTGTTCACTAATGGAAACTCATGTTTTCCTTATATTTCTAGTTATCCTTTAATAAGCTCCAGCTAACTGAGGTAATCTCAGTGTGTTCCTTGAAACTTCAAAGTACCTGTCTAGCTCACTGTGAATGGCTTAATATGTGTATTTCATCAGTTTGAATGCTTTCAGTTACAAACAACAGAAGACTCAATTCAAACTAGTTTAAGAACTAAAGAAAATTTATTGGCTCATACAAGTGGAAAGACAAGAGATGGAGTGGGCTTCAGGTAACATGTGATCCAGTGACTCACTGGTGTTTTCAAAGCTTAATTTTTCCCCTCTATTCTTTCTGCCATCATGAAGGGGGAGTATTACCTAAAAGATACTATGCAACTTGAACAAATTCTTTTCACTATTGTTATTGTTGGTTTTTCTTGATTTTTTTTTTTTTTTTTTGGATAACTCACTTATGCCCTCAGAGTATGCATAACAGGGAAGGTATTTTTTAAGATATTTCAAAATGTCATTCTAGCTGGCATAAACTTGAGGCGCAGATTCTGGAACAGTTTGGATGTGTTTCTCCCTAAAATTAACCTGGTCCCAATGCTTTCTCCTGGAATTTCCTTATAGAGTTAGAATTTTGTGGGTACAAATGCAGATGAATTCAAGGTCAGAAGGTCATGACCTCCCAATGCCCTTTCTTTCATGCTTAGAGAGATGAGGCCTAATCAGACACACTGGAGATTTCAGAGCCTTTATCTCTCTATAAACAGTTTGTTATATGAAGAGAGACAGATTACTCTGTATGTTCTCAAAAGAGAAATAATTTTTACATTTTTCTCATTCCTGGGATTCTCTCTTAGTCATTCTCTCCCCCCTAATGGCTTTCTCCTAGACACATACATATCCATTATCCTAACATTCTTCTCTTTCTTCTTTATCTTCTTTCTTCAACCTTGACTTGTTTTCAATGGAGAGAAAAAATTAAGGATTTAAAATGTTTTTTAACATTGAACAAACTGAAAAAAAAATTTATCTGAACTCTTCTTTTAATTGAGACATTTGAGGCAAATTGAAACCATAAAGTCAGTCAGCCAATAGACAACACAAAAAATCTACAAACTATAATAAACTAAAACTGCACAGTTGTTATGTATTAGATATCCCTTAGGTAGAGGGACTGGCAAGCATGCCATCTAGTTTGCATTTAAATGCTGCATTATTACTAAGAGTCACTGCTGGCTAAAGGTGATGGAAATAGCCCATCATCCCACTATTAGGATTACCCCAAATCACTTAGTCCTTGGGAAAAGATTTAGTTCATACAGAGTTCTAACCCTGCAGTTCTGGAGTAACATCTCCCAGCATGGGGGTCTCACCCACGCCTTGGCTATCTGCTGTTAAAAAGCAGAATGAAGACTGTGTGCTCAGCAGGCAACTAAAAGAATCCTCTGTTATTGTGATGGATCAAAACTTCAATTTCCAGGATCTGTCTTTTCAGCAGCTGTTGAAGGTTTTGAGTAGACAACCTGGGCCTTTCACTAGTTTTAGAGTTGTAGAGAAGCCACAAATGTAAAACAATATCATATACATAGTTTATATTTGTACTTGTTCAATTATGATGAACAATAAATAATAAACCAATCATTTAAACCAATCTCAGAAGTTTCCAGGACTTTTTCCCTTATAAAAGTCCTCTGAATATAACTCAAATTTGAGAAAAACAAATTATTGTGGAGAATGCCTCACTGAGGATACAGGTGGAATGACCCCAGAGGCTATATTGACATGAAATAGAAAGCATTATTAATCCATTTACTTACGGGGTAAGTTTCAACCCATCCCACAGAGTCTATCTGCTTTACACTTTGTCTTTCTCTGCAAGATTTTATTTCAACTAATTTAATGTTTTTAACTTCTATTTTAGGTATTTTTTTTAGTGCAATATCCCTGGTGGATTTCTAGAAAATCTTAGGTTTTCTGGATTAGAACAAGTTACAGAGAATAGAGCAATAGCTCTGCAGGTTAACTTCAAAAGGAGAAACTTCTGGGTGGAATTATCCCCAAACGCTGGATAATTTTATGCAAGGACTAATCTAAACAAGATTTTTTTTATCCTCTGATACACTGTTGTTTAAAGAGGGCACATGGATTTTGCTTGGCTAAAGGAGACTAGAACAATAGCACCTTTTAAACCAAGGTAAAATCCTTTGTTTTAATCTCATTTATCCACAATAAATCAGAGAGTTAAATTTCTAAAACTTTCCTCTAATTCAGTTTTATGGGCTCTTTCCCTATGGTTCAATATAAAAAAACGCCATTTAAAATTTTAGGACTCACGGAATTCCTTCAGTAGCTAGTTAAGAAATTCTTTTCCTCCTACACTATCCCAGCAGCTAACATTTCATGCACATACTTCCTTTGTATTTGAGAATGACCAGATTTGAAAACTGACAAGTAGAAGTGCTATTCAAAGAGGAGGAGCCCTTTGGAATTTCTAAGCAATAAGAAAATCCTTTCCAAATGGGATGCCTTGAGATGACTCTATGACAAGAACACAAAAGTTATATGGACAAATTGTTCATTCTTGCAGTTGTATATTCATCCTATTTCATATGAGTGCCAACCAAGTGTGAAGTTTTAACTAGGCTCTGAGGATAAAATGGTGACAGCCCCTGTTCTCATGGGCTTTATGGTTGAAGTGGGAAGAGACATTGCATAATTACAAAATTAAGTGCATATTTACAAAATAGGATAAATATTATGAAGCAAAAGCATAGGGTACAATAAGAATGCATCACAATGGGTTTATCCTAGTTTGTGGGAATCATGTATCTATGGCAGTTCCATTCACTGGGACACTGAACTGTGGAAGATGACCAGGCTTGAGCAGAATTATCATGGTTGCATTTTTTTCTTTTTTTGCAATCTAGGTTTGAGACAAGCAAAGAGGGAAGTCGAATAAACACTTGAATATATGGATAAATCTGAAGGTATGAATGTAAGAAAGATTCCATAGCTACTAGATGATAAGCTAGAAGTGAAAACGTATTTAGAGGTAAGAGTTAAAAGGAAAAGAGGGCCCGTAACTGATTTTTAAGAAACTCCAGCATCTAAAGGTTGGGGGAGAGGTGGCAAAGAAGACTGAAGAGTGGCCTAGTGACAGGGGCAGATCTACCTGGAAACTGAAGTAGTTTAACATTCTGGGTCCTTCTCTTGCCTGGGAGCAACCCTAGCAATGTGTTTACAGGGACGTTTATTTTTCGATTTTTCAAAAGAAAGTTTTGTTTTGTTTTGTTTTTTGTTAAAGCAGACCCCCAATTGTACAAGCTTCAGAGCCCATACCTCCACCCTTGACTAAGAGGAAGGAGCAAAACCAAGAGTGTGATTGCATGGAATTACAGGAGGGGTGGGGTGGGGAGGGCTCTAGGAAGAGAGAGGTCAACAGCTGTGACTGTGTTTGAAAGGCCAAGGAATACGGGAAAAGAGTATTTTTATTCAGAATAATAAGAGAAATTCTATCAAATGTTCTAAATTGGACTTCTGAGTATCCTTTGGTACTATAATATTAGAGAGATGTTTTGAAAAAGAGTTTCTTATGCAGAAAAAATTTCGTGGGACTTCCAAATTCAGGATAACAGAAAGAAAATCTTAAGTGGCACAAAATAAAAAATGAATATCTGTTCTTCCTGGGGCCATGTAACTCTAATAACTTTTCCATGTTTACTGTTTTTGCTTTTAAATTGGATCATCAGACTAAGAATGCACCCTGATGTGCGAAAAGTTTCTTAGAAAGTGAGACGACTGCCCCCCCCCCCGCCCCGCTTTCTGATTAAAGCGCTTCTCATCAGCATCCTATGCCACTTAGTAAGCTACCCATGCAGAAAGCATCCTCAGGGCAGTGCACATAAGAAAAATCTGAGGAACCAGAAACAGGCTATCAGTTTCCGCAGGTTGACAAAATCGGCAAATAAAAACTCAAGACTGCCATTAAATTTGAATTTCCGATAAACAATGAAGAACTTTTTAGTATAAGTACGTCCCAAATATTGCAAGGGATATACTTGTACTAAAATTATTCCTTTTTTGAGATTCCCATTTAACAGGCCAGTCTGTATTTTATCTGACCACCTCATAAATCCACTACCCACACCCCAGGCCTAGCGGCCCAGGAGCGAGTTTAAAATCCCGCAGCGGCCCGCTAGGCCGCGTCCCCTGATTGGCCGAGGCGCGCCCGCCGCCCCGCCGGTCGCAGGCGTCACGGCAGCCCCAGCAGCCTGGGCCCCGCCGCCGCCTCCGCGGCAGCCCCGGTCGGCGCAAGTGCGGCGCGCGCTGGGGGAGGGGGCGCGGCGGAGCGCGAGGCTGGCGTCGGGCCGCCGCGGGATTAAGTTTCTCAGTCACGCGTGAGTGTGCGCTTTGATCCCGAAGCTCCTCGCCGGGCCGTTACTTCAGAAGACAGCGAGCGTGGGCGAAGCGAGGCATCCAGAGGCCCCGGCGACCCCTGCTCCCTAGCCCTCTGCCCCCTCGCGTCCCGGCCCTGGGCGGCCGCCGCGAGCCGGGTAAGCGGCGCGTGAGCCCAGGCCCGGAGGCCGAGGCGCGCCCCCGCGCCCTGCGCGCGCGCCGGCGGGGAAGGTGCGCGGGCGCCCGGGGCTCGGCGCGCGGGGGTGGGGGTGGCGGCGGGCTGTGGGGCGGTGCGCTTGCCCCACCCCGCGCGGCCAGGCGCTTCGCGGATGCCGCTGCTGTGGCTTTTTAAAAGGATGGGGTCTAGAAGTTTCCTTCGCTACTCGCAAGTCTCCACTCCTCCCACCCCCGCGATGGATAATCCTAGACCTTTCAGCCACCCCTACCCCTTTCTTTTGCTCTCGCTGACTCTAAGAGGTTTAAAAGTTCTTCCTTTTCCTTGACCCAGAGGGGCACAGTCTTGGTGTCGGGGGGCGGGGGGTGGGATGTTAGCCTGGGGGTCCGGAGCGCAGACCAGGCCTCCGGGGCGCGGGAGCCTGTTGCTCTCCGCTGCCGGGGCCGCGCCCGAATGCCCTGTCCGCCGTTACGCGGTGCCGGGCTGCGCGGGGTGCGGTAGAGAGTGGGCAGCAATGCTCGCGGTCCTGCGTTCTCGCCTTAGCCTCGGGGACCCCAAGGCAAGCCGCTAATTGGTACCGGTTCCCCGTCCCCCCCCCCTGGCGCCCATGCCCTTTTAACCGCAGCTCCCGTTGGTGGGAGCATGTTGGTCTTGTCTCTCCCTTAATGCCCTCACCCCCCGCTCTGATGGGCGCCTTTGTCTGTGATTTGGCAGCCCCAGGATGCCGGATGTTCCTAGGGAAGCGATGTTTGGGAGACGCTTTGTGCCTTGCGGAGTAGCGCGTTTGTCGGGTGGTGATGGTGTACATTTTTGCTTGCATTCTTTGCAGAGGCACAAAGGCCGGGCTATTCTTCCCTGCAGTCACATGGAAATCCAAGCGGAGACTGCGGGGGAGGAGAAGTGGCCAGGCGCCGGCGGGAGGTGGAGGCCACTGCGCAGTCACTGGGGGCGAGTGGGGGGTCCCCGGGGACCTCTCCTCCGCGGTGGCGCTGTTGAGGTGCTCTGCTTGGGAAGACCCCGGCAATGGGCACTGTCTTTGTGCAGTGGGGGCTGTGGTTGGAGGCTAGTGTTTGGTAGGTATCACCAGATAGATAAGAGGACTATGACTTCACCAGCCTAGAAGGAAAACTTCTCCATGTTCTTTTGATGTCATAGAGAAGGAATCTGATAAGTGACCAGACTGCCTTGACCTGCCTTGTAGATAGTTTGATGTAAACATCCCCTTCGTGTTTCCCTAGAAATTCCTGGTTTAGGTTACCTTTTATAGAATAACACCTTATCTGAAAACTAACGAGGAGGAGGTGATGGCTTCGGGCTTGGGAGTTTTACATGTTGAATTTGGGTGTGAGTGATTACAGTGAACATCTTGTAATGTTGGAACCATCTAAATTTGTATAATGTATGCCTCAGCACTTGATGGAATTTCGGCAAACAATAGTGTTTAAAAAACCTAGCAAAACTTGGCCAGGCGCAGTGGCTCACGCCTGTAATCCCAGCACTTTGGGAGACCGAGGTGGGTGGATCACTTGAGGTCGGGAGTTCAAGACCGTCCTGGCCAACATGATGAAACCCTGTCTCTACTAAAAATACAAATATTAGTGGGGCGTGATGGCACGCGTCTGTAGTCCCAGCTACTAGCGAGGCTGGGGCAGGAGAATCGCTTGCACCCAGGAGGCGGCGGTTGCATTGAGCCGAGATCATGCCACTGCACTCCAGCCTGGGCGACAGAGCGAGACGACTCTGACTCAATAAATAAATAAGTAAATAAAAAACATAAGTAAAAACCTAGCAAAACTTGAAGTTCTTTGACCTGATCTTCTAATACAATACCGCGCTTTGGATGGATGCACCTGTGCCCTTGTGTGCAACGTAGGCAAAACTAGTTTTGGGTACCCTTTGACTCTCCATTCCTGTTTCCTATCTCGTTTGCCAAAACGAACAAACTTAGGAAGATTATTCTCAACGTATTACTAATAGATTATGGTGTACCTTATTTCTTACATGTTTCTTTTTTTCCCTTTGTTCCTTTCTGTGTTTATTCTTTTCACGTACCTTCTCTAGTTCTGGTTTTCTTTGTCTCTTTACCACACTTCTTTTTATTGACTGGGCCTGATGGTTGTGGCTTGGAAAGGGAGGGATCATTAGTCAGTTTTTAGTGTGTTTCAAAGTCCTATCACCTAGACATTGCTCTGGTTGGCCCTTAAAGACATCTTTCCTTTTCAGATGCATTTAAATGCACCTAACTGTGAGGAATAGAAGCTGTTCTCAGAGTTTAGTTTATTTCTACAAGTTGAAGCTATTGAGAGAGATTCTTGGAAATCCTTGAAATGTAACTTTCATGGATTTAGGCCTAGTTGGCCACTTTTAGTTTTTAACTGCTAGGATGGAGAGATTTTGCTTGACAAATGATGAAGTGAATCCATTGTCTAGAATTGAGATTAAGGGATTTAAAAGCTGGAGAAGAACAATGAATTGCCCGGAACGTAGCTATCCTGAGTTAGAGGCAGATTATTTTCTCCAGATTACATCCCAGATCCGACATAGTCTTGTCTCTCAGGTTGAGTTGCAGGTTGGCTACATTTTGTATATTTGGAAACATACAAAGTACTCTGAATTTCATGAAATATTTTGAGGCACAGTTGGACCAGAATGTCCCCAAATATGGTAGAGCGAATAGCACATCTGCCAGAGAAAGATCCTACACTTTAAAGTGAAGAAGCAGACAACTTCCTGGTGAATTTAGGACTGCTTGATGGTGCCTATAAATGATGATATATGTCCGAAACAGTTACATGTACTTTTAAAAATAGTTATTTGGCTTGAAGTAGGATTTCATTTGATATTGTTACATACATTATCAACTCCATATTTATAACAATAAAAGTTTCATTTTTTTCTTGTAAATTAGTGTCATACAAAGGGGAACATTTATATAAGTACAGTTCGGAAATGATATTTAGCATGGTAACATTGATATATTGTGATTAAATAATTTTAGTGGGATTCCATGTGGGATAATAAGACTAAGGAGATAAATAACTACTTCTCAATAAAGGAAACCAGTGGTGAGGAATCCATTGCCTTCCTGTGATATGTTTCCAGAGAAGATCCGAGGTATTCATGTAATAGGTAGTAATAGGTGGATTAGGAAGACTGTTGTATTGGATTAGGCATTGAGGAGAACACAGAATAAATACGATTCTGCTCCAGTAGCGTAGGGTCTTAGTTGCAAGAATCTAATGGGAGAAATTATAGAAAGGTTTTACACATAAAAAATGTTACAGGGATTCTAGGAAAGTAGTTAAGTATAGGGATTACTTGCTCTTATCATTGTGGTTAGTAAATAACACACAGAGGGGGCTTTGGTCTTGAGATAAGAGGGTGGAAATGAAAGATTTTTGGTATGAAGTGAGCTTAAGTCAGTGGTTTTGCCTTGAAAATTGACATGGTGTATGGAAGAGGCTTGGATGTGAGTGGGCAGTGGGTACTGAAGAGCGTATTCAATTTGTATATTTCTGGAGTGCGATAGAGGGTTTGTGCCCAGGGGAAAAGTTTGGATGGGGAAGAGCAATTAATGGAGAGCAATGAAGTATAGGCTGAATTTTATCTCTTGAAGTTTCCACTTTCCAGTAACCCGTTTCACATTTCCTTCTGAGACTTTACCAGAAACACGTTTAGTGTCTATATTTCTAACAACCTCTTCAGTGCAATCTGGTCTTTTTCTACCATGCACCCTAAAACGTTTGTAGCCATTACCTGTTACCCAGTTCCAAAGCCACTTCCACATTTTTGGTGTTTGTTACAGCAGCACCCCATTTCCTGGTACCAAAATCTGTATTAGTTTGATAGGGCTGCCTTGACAAAATACCGCAGAGTGGGAGGGCGGCTGAAACCACGGGAATTTATTTCCTCACAGTTGTGGGGGCCGGAAGGCTAAAATCCAAGTGTTGGTGGGATTGGTTTCTACCGAGCCTCTCTCTTTGGCTTGTAGATGGCTGAGTTCTCCCTGTTTCTTCACATACTCTCCCTCTGTGTATGTCTATGGCCTAATTTCTTTTTATAAGGGAACCAGTCATATTGTGTTAGAGCCCACCCCTAGTGTCCTCATTTAACCTTTATGTCCAAGTACAGTTACATTCTGAGGTACAGGGAATTAGGATATCCTGTGGATTTTTAGGAGACATAATTTAGCCCATAACAAGGTTCTCAAAGAGACCTAGTCTGTAAGCTAGTGAGACCCTGAGGCAGTGAGATCATATTGGAGGCTAGTGCATAGTCTGATCATTACTGGGGTAATCTGATGTTTGGCAAGAAAGGGAAACTGCTATTTGAGGACAAAGGTATTTTATCTTTGGCCTGAGGCCACTTATTTTCTTTCTCTGGGTGTTCATTGGGAAATTGTGCCTCTATGACCTTCCTTTTTGTGGACAGAGCATTAATTTTCTTTTGAAGTGTTTTATAAAAGCATTTGTTTTCTTAAAATATTTCTTTTAATGGTTCTTAAAAATAGTAAAGCGCTAAATTTGGCAAAGCTGAAACATTGTGTTGTAAATATCTCAGTGGTTTTTGAGTCTGATTAAAACAACAGAATTTATTCTTTAAATTCCATTGATCTAAAAACTGTCTTATACATGTTTTGTGGGGTAATATATGGCATAATCTTTTTTTCCTTCAGAAATGTTTCCCCCTTTTGGGAAAATATGATTAATAAAAGGGATTTTATGTTACATAAAATAAAAACTTTTTATTTTTATTTTATGTTTTTTAGGTGTTGCAGTTGTATTTGTTGAGTTAACGAAACCATTAGAACCATTCTTCCAGATCTGGCCAACTAAGTTTAAAAAAAAAATAAATAAATGAAAAGAGACAAATTTTTGCTTTTTTTTTCTTTTCTGGCCTGTCTGCCTGCAGTGGTTAAATTTGTTTTGTTTAGGGAATTCTTATCTGTATCCACCTTTTAGTTTTATTTGTGTCTGCAAAAGC